ATAAGCTGCTCGTATGAGCTAGTTTGATTATTGGCACCTTTGAAGCTCTAATGTCCTGTCACCAGGTGGTTAGATCTGTTACTAGGTATGTGAGCTCAGAAGTCCATCCACTCCTCTTGTATGGATTCAGCTCAGATGCCCAGGTAGATAGCCACCAAGTACGTGGTGTAGGCGCTCACCTACTGTCGTAGACAGTCATGGGTGACTGGTGTAGGCACAGGCATCTGGTTGCAGCAGGGGGACACACTCTGAGCAAGCAGAGGGCTGACAGCCACCCTCGAGTGTCCAGGAGGAAGGCGTGTCCCTGTTCCCTAGAGTGCATAGGTGGGTGGGTTTTGCAGCCAGAGTGTGAGCACCCAATGCTGTTGGCTGTAAGGACTGCGGGCACCTCTTATTCTTGAGCCCCTGTAGTAGGTGGCGTGGGTGGAGCCGCCAGTCCTCAGGCTCCTGATGTGTGTAGGTGAAGACCCTGCTTAATGGGCAGAGCAGTGTCAAATGTCACGAACCTGCCATTTCACTGCTGAAACAGTTCAAGTTAGACTTCAGGTATATACCGTGTTGTACTGTGGGAATGAGGGCCTACACTGTTGAAATGGGCCCACACAAGTCTCTGCAGGGGGAAAGGCAGTTAAAGTCCGTGGATCCCTTATGCCTGTGCCTAGGCAAAGGAGCTGTGCCTACCCTGGTTTCCTGGCTTAGGGGAGCCAGCAGTTTATTTTTTCCCGTGTTTGTTAATTTGTTCTCTGTCTAAGGTTGGGTGAATGGCTCAGGGTGTGTGACAGATCCTACTTCCAGCCCAGGGGACTCGGCTGTTGTTGAAGCCAGTCTGGGACCCAGCGCAGAGCAAGGAGTGGGGAGGTAAATGGGAGAGAGATTTTTCCTTAAGAGGGGTGTTTTTTATCCATGCCGTAGGCCGTATGCAAGTACTTGTCTTTTGCCGATCTAGGGCTGCTTCTCACTGGTTCTGGGTGGCCACCTGGACTCTCTGGCGCTGGGTCTCTCCCGGTGTGGAAAACGTGCCTCCCGAGCACTGCTGCTTTCCTGCTTCACCGCTCACTCATGAGCTGATCAGGCCTGAAGGGCTCTGGCTCTCCCTGGGTCAGGTCTGGCAACTCCTCACTGCTTCCGAACTGTCTCTCCCTCCCCCTGCCACTCAGTCCAGTTCCTCAACTTTGCCTAAGATGTTCAGGGCTCTTAGATTGTCATACATAATTGATTTGCTTGTTTTTTCGTGTCTTTGTTGCAAGAGGGTCCACCGGAAGCGTCTGACTACGCCATTTTGGCCTCACCTCCCCCTCCAATGGATTTTCTAAAATACATTTTATACTTCTCATTAATTCTTTGAACAAATATTTATTGAGCACCTGCTCAGTGCCAGACACTGTTCTAGGCAATTGGTATCCATTAGTGAACAAAAAGTTAAAAATCCCTGTCCTTGTGAAGCCTGCATTCTACTAGAAGTGACATACAATAAACAATAAACTAATAAGTAAATTATAAAGTATGTTAGAAGGTGATAAAGGACCATGATGGGAAAACAGAATTGGGTAAGGTAAAGGGCAGTGAGAAAGTTTGCAATTTCGAAAAGGGTGATAAAGTAGGCCTCATTGAGAATATGCCATTTAAGGAATGATGCGAAGAGATGCGGGAGTTAGCCATTCAGCTCTCTGGAGAGGAAGAGTGTTCTGGGCAGAGAAAATGGTTGGTTCAACGATGTTAAAGTTGGAGCATGTCTGTCATGTCCCAGGAACAACTGCCAGTGTGGTACAGGGTAGTAGTAGATAAGATCATGGTAATATGGGAGGGAAGATTGTTTAGAATCTTATAGGACGTCGTTAAGACTTTAGCTCTTTCTCTCAGTGAAATGAGAACCCATTTGAAGATTCTTACCATACCTAATACACATTTTAAAACAGCATATATGTCTTCCTGAATATCACTTAGAGATTTCATATTATTGCTTCTTTAAATATATCACTTCATATCTGCTTAATAGGAGTGAAAACGTTTTGTTTTTCTGACAGGTATACTTAATATGATTATGGTTTTCTTATTTCAGAAAGATCCAGATTACCTGAAGTTATGGTTGGACAGTTTTGTTTCTAGCTATGAACAATTCTTAGATGTTGACTTTGAGAAGCTGCCTACCAGGTATGTAGAAATGTGTTAATTTTCTAACTTCGGGTGGGTTTGTTCGTTTTTGGCCCAAAGATTTCATTGATAACATATTACAAGGGTGGCAACTATGTGGCACACACAACATTTCTATGTAATCCTGTTCTCATAGCAGATGTTACTAACTGATCACAGCAGTCTTTCTTGCTGATACTGAACATGGCTTTTAGAAGCCTTACTATTTTGGTGAATCACAACCAATTAATTGTTATTGGGCATGCAGGTTGAAACTTTTTTGGCCATTCCTGGCCTGAGAATAGGGCTTCAGAAAATATCTTGGAGGAGGCAAAGTATTGAGATTTTTAAAAATTAGATTTAAAAATCATAAAATGAGGAAAAAGTTCAAATTATGTGGAAAGGTACAACTGAAAGTACAAATCTTCTCCCATTTTTCCACCTACCACTGTTCCCCCACTTTTACAGTTCCCAGGCTAACTTCCCAGATATAATTTTTTTCTATATCTCAAGTCATCTTGAAGGACTAGTAGTTGTTAGTCAGATAAGAGAGGTTGGCTGCGGTAAGAAGGAGGAGAAATGAAGAGAGGCTTTTAACCACAAAAGGAGCTCCATTTATGGAGATTTGTTATAGTTGAAAATGGTGGTGGTTAATGATGAGTAATATAGAGTCTGGAGAATTAAAGAAAATGCAAGGAGGAGGAAAGTGTTTGTTTGGGGATGGGGTAGGCAGTAAGAGAGTAGGTACAAGAGAATTAAATCTGGAGAATCAAGTAGGGGCCAGATTATGAAGAACCATGCTTCGATGCTGATGGACTTTGATTTTTTTGTTATGGAGGATATGGGGAGCTACTAAGTAATTTTCTGCATGAGAGTGACCCAAGTTTGTTTTTCAGAAGTTACTTTATTGGCTATTATGGAGGTTGGATTGGAGAGAGATGAAACAGGCAGTTTCATCAGTTAAGAGGCAGTTGTAATAATCCAGAGGAGGTATCATTAGGACTTTGAATCAACGCATTGAATTCAAGAAAGGATGTGGTTGTGCTCAGAAAGGACCAGTGTTTCATTATGTATAAGTAAACATTTTCTGATTTCTTTGTTAGAATGTTAGTTGTGACAGGTTTATAAAAGTTGCAAAGTGTTAAATCTTGAACTGTCCTCAAAAGAAGATAAAGTTTTATTGATGTCTACTGATAAAAGAGTATTCTTGTAGTTTGTTAGTTAGAAGTGCTTTTATTTTAATAATTTGGAACTCACTTTTAAGTCATGGGCCTAAAAATTTTCTGGAGTCAGGATTTGAGCCTTTGAATGTTTGGAATAAAATTCCTAAAATAGAATTGTTATCATCCATACATTTTAAGTGTCTCTTGGGAGACTGTCTTAGTCTTCTAGTACTGCTATGACGGAAATACCACAAGTGGATGGTTTTAACGAAGAGAAGTTTTATTTCCTCACAGTCAAAGTAGGCTATAAGTCCAATTTCAGGGTGTCAGCTCCAGGGGAAGGCTTTTCCTCTCTGTCGGCCTTCTCTTCGGTGTTCTCCCGGACTAGGAGCTCCTCTGCGCAGGGACCCTGGTCCAAAGGACGTGCTCTGCTCCTGGTACTGCTTTCTTGATGGTATGAGGTCCCCCAGTTCTCTGCTTGCTTCCCTTTCCTTTTATTTTTTGTAAGGTAAAAGGTGGTGCAGGCCACATCCTAGGGAAACTCCCTTTACATTGGATCAGGGATGTGACCTGGGTAAGGGTGGTATTACAATCTCACCCTAATCCTCTTTAATATAAAATTACAATCACAAAATGGAGGCCAGCCACACAATTCTGGGAATCATGGCCTAGCCAAATTGTTATACACATTTTTTGGGGGACATAATTCAAACCATGACAGAGACCATCTCCAAAAATTTTAAGTAGACATGTATTGCTACTGTATTTAAAGTAAGATGAAGAATGCCAAGTGTGTTGATTTTTTCATGATTTAGTTAAAATTATATTTCACATCATTGCCAGAAAACTGAATCACAAATTCAGATTTTATTGGTAGAAAACTTAAAATTTGTAAAGTCCAAACCATATGGAAGGTATTGTATACAACTAGTCTAGTCACCTTAAAGGGAAGAAACTCATGGATAATCTCATTTTAAGAATCTGACTTAATAGAATTTTCAATTTAACAGGATTCATTACATACAGCAGGGATTATTTTTACCAGATTTTAAAGCTTTGAACTTTTTAAGCTGGTGTTCTTCCTGTGTTAGATGGAGACAGCAATTGGCAGTTGTTTACAATAGATGTTCTACAGCCAAGCAAAGAGGACTGGGAAAAATATCTGGAGTTTGGGAAATTTCAGTGAAAGAGCATAGTGTTTTGGACAGTGAAGTCCTAGAGGTAGGGAAATGCTTCCAAGTTCTTGAATGCTTACACATTAGGAACATGGTCAAATATCATAACTTTATGTATAAGAGTATGTAACCAAGCCCCGATTTTATAATGAAAGTTAGTGAGGGAGGAAAAAAATTCTCTTTTACAGGCTAATTTTTTTTTTTGGATCATCTACTAAAAGAAAGAACATGTGCAAATGCAACTGGACTAAACCAAAGCCAAGAAGTATCCTGAATACAACCAAATACTTAGAGGGACGGAGTAGCAGGGACAGGGGTCTGGGGACCATGCTTTCAGGGGACATCTAGGTCAATTGGCATAACAAAGTTTATTAAGAAAATGTTCTGCATCGTACTTTGGTGAGTGGCGTCTGGGGTCTTAAAAGCTAGCAAGCGGCCATCTAAGATGCATCAATTAGTCCCAACCCACCTGGAGTAAAGGAGAATGAAGAACACCAAAGCGACAAGGAAGGCATTAGCCCAAGAGACAGAAAGGGCCACATAAACTGGAGACTGCAACAGCCTGAGACCAGAAGAACTAGAGGGTGCCCGGCTACACCACTGCCCTGATGGAGAACACAACAGAGAGTCCCTGTTGGAGCAGGAGAAAGTTGCGGTGCAGAACTCAAATTCTAGTGAAAAGACCAGACTTAATGGTCTGACCGAGACTGGAGGAACCTCAGAGAGGATGGCCCCTGGACTCTCTGTCAGCCCAGCACTAAACCATTCCTGAGGCCAACTCTTCAGTCAGAGATTACACTGGACTATGGGACATAAACTGATACTCGTGAAGAGTGTGCTTCTTAGCTCAAGTAGATGCATGAGACTAAACGGGCAGCTTCTGTCCGGAGGTGAGATGAGAAGGCAGAGAGGGTCAGGAGCTGGTTGAATGGACACGAGAAATCGGGTGGAAAGGAAGAATATGCTGTTACAGTATAGGGAGAGCAATTAGGGTCGCATAACAATGTATGTGTAAATTTTTGTATGAGAGACTAACTTGAATTGTAAACTTTCGCTTAAAGCACAACAATAAAATAAAATTAAAAACAAAAAGAACATGTGCAAATAGAGACAACCAAGGACACAGGAAAGTACTCTTTTAAATAACTAAAATTATTTAAAAACTAAAGTTAGGTGCTCATTTTATAAACACCTTAATTATGATATTGGATATGTTCAGAAAGAGGCTAATTATATTTTCATATATATTTATGTGACTACTGGAATGTATGTTAAATTCTCTATCCACAGTAAATGAAATAGCCTTTTACTTAGTCATTATAAAAGTACCAGTAATATTTCATATTAAGTATTACCTGAAGGAGAGACTACTTTATATAATAGTCATTTAATCATAGGTGCTCTTTAGGGTATGTAGTTCTCTCCAGATTGTGATATTTTTCTGAATAATTATAAGGAAACTACTATACAGTGATTTATGAAAGGATTTGCAGGGTTTAGTGGTTGGTAATATATTTAAAATATATTAAATTTTTCTAGTTCTTTACAAATTTCAAAGTACTTTCACATTGATTTTCTGGTTTCACAGCTCTGTGAAATAAGGTAGATGATATTACAGTTTTATAGGTTTGAAAATTTCAGAGATTAAATGTTACAAAGTTAGGACTTAGTACCCAGGTCTTCTGACTTTGAATCTAGGTAGAAGTTTTATTGTGAGAGAGACATACCAGAGGAGTCAGTCATGTCTGGTGTTAGCTTATGCCCTTAAAGAACCATGTGGTCTTCTCACACAGAAACCAGTTTTCACAAAATATTGATATATTACTTTAAAAAAATTTTCTATTCATGCTCCAGCTTGGTCTTCTACATTTACGTCTTCATCTTTTCTCCTTTCCTTTTTTAATATTTTATTGTGGTAAAATATATATAACATAAAATTTACTGTTTTTACCATTTTTAAGTGTACACTTCAGTGGCATTAGTTATATTCACATTGTTGTGTAACCATCATCACCATGTATTTCTAAAACTTTGTCATCACCCCAAACAGAAGCTCTGTACCCATTAAGCATCAGCTCTCCATTCCTCTTTACCTTCAGCCCATGGTATCCACTAATGTACTTTCTGTCTCTATAAATTTGCCTATTCTAGATATTTCATGTTAATGGGATCACACAATATTTGTCCTTTTCCTTTCTTTTGCTCATCTTCTCTTCCTCGGGGAGCCTATAGGTAGATAATGTTATTTAGTAAAGTAGTGGACAGATACTAAACTAGTTATAGTTACTTGTTGGTGTTTTTTTTTTTTTCTTTTTTCTGCTTTAAGGGAAAGTTTACAATTCAAGTCAGTTTTTCTTACAAAAATTTATATACACATTGCTATGTGACCCTAGTTGCTCTCCCTTCTTTCCACCCTGGATTTCCCATGTCTGTTCAACCAGCTCCTGACCCTCTCTGCCTTCTCATCTTGTCTCTGGACAGGAACTGCCCATTTAGTCTCATGTATCTACTTGAACTAAAAAAGCACACTCCTCACGGAGTTTCACTTTATGTCCTATAGTCCAGTCTAATCTTTGACTGAAGAGTTGGCCTTGGGAATGATTTTAGCTCTTGGCCAACAGAGAATCTGGGGTCCATGTCTTTCGGGGTCCCTCCAGTCTCAGTCAAACCATTAAGTCTTGTCGTTTTACTAGAATTTGAATTCTGCACCCCACATTTCTCCTACTCCACCGGTGACTCTCTGCTGTGTTCCCTGTCAGGATGGCCATTGGTGGTAGTCGAGTACTATCCAGTTCTTCTGGTATTTGTTGGTTTTTGTTTCTATTAGAAATGATGTTTGTGTACACACACACATGCATATACACACACAAACACATATATTGTATTCGTAAGTAGAAAGTAGATTAATTTATATTCTGAATGTTTTCTTTAAAAATAATATAAAAGTAGAGGGGCTCTCTCTTTTCAGTAAGCCCCTTCTGATGTAAGACTAACCACTCTGGTGTACTAATCTAGAGTGTCACTGATCATCTTGTGGTACCTTGTAGAGAAAAAGGGACAGAGTATCTGAAAAGAGTAAAAAAAAAAAAAAACCTTCTTTTGGATTTGAGTACAAAATGCAATTTCTTTAAAGCACTAGAGATTTTCTTCCTATATTGAAATACTCTTCTTATTTTGTTCTCCTTATACTGTAGGGTAGATGATGTGCCTCCTGGAATATCTCTGCTTCCTGATAATATTCTGCAGGTTCTGAGGATCCAGCTGCTACAGTGTGTTCAGAAAACAGCAGATGGATTAGAGGAACAACAACAAGCCTTGTCAATTTTGCTTGTAAAGTTCTTCATTATTCTTTGCAGGTATCTGGTACAAAAAAAAAAACAACAAAAAACCTGTGTGTTTTTAAATAATTATTATCAAAATACTAATGTATTTATCGATTATTAATTTTTTTTTTGGTTGTTCATGTGGAGCATTAAAGAACTAGTGTACCTTTTGTAATGAGGCTTATGGTTTGTCAGTTTATTGGAAAGACTTTAGCTAGTATACCTAGTTATACAGAGATTCAGTCAAGATTAAAACAATAAATTGCTTTAAAGTAGACAATGACAGGAGATTTTATTTTGCCAGGAATTTATTGTACCAGTATTTTCTGTATGATCCTTACATGTAAACATTCACATTTTTATTCCTGTTGATTACTATTTATGAAAATATATTTTTCTAGTTTGTCATTTTATAATTTTACCAAATATAGTTATTCTATTGAGTCTTCTATTTTCCAGGTTTATACGTTAGATCAGTGCTAGTTAAATTTTAATGTGTGGGTATTAACTAGGACATTTATTAGAAATAAAGAGCCTGAGCCTTACTTGCGGAAATTCTGATTCAGAAGGCCCCAGGCATCTGGATTTTTCATAAATTCCCTATAAGCTTTGCACGTAAGAATTTGAGAACCATTGTGTTAGGACCATCATATGCCTTTTGAATTTCCTTTCTTTTTGAAAACCATTTCCTATATACTGTATTCTGTTTAGGAGGGATCAGTCCCCTGGAGAAGAACATCATGCTTGGTAAAGTAGAGGGTCTGTGAAAAAGAGGAAGAACCTCAACGAGATGGATTGACACAGTGGCTGCAACAATGGGCTCAAGCATAACAACGATTGTGAGGATGGTGCAGGACTGGGCAGTGTTTCGTTCTGTTGTACAAGGGGTCGCTATGAGTCGGAACCGACTCCATGGCACCTAACAACAACAACAACAACATATTCTACTTTTTAAATATTTTATAATTGCTTAGTAGACAGCTAGGGACTTAATTTACCTTTTATTCGCCTTTGACTTAATTGCTCATTGCCTTTGATTACAGAGATCATGAAAAGATTTAAAAATAATTACCAAAATGTTTCTCTCCTAACTTACACACTCTCAGAACCTTAGATATATTTTTGTTTTCATGCTATCCTTCATCCTTAAAATTAAAAAAAATTATATAAGAATTGAAAAGGTTGACAGAAAAGGTGTACTCAAGTGGTAACTCATGAGTTGACCTCTGCAATAGTTAATTTGCTATATTTTCTTCTGTAAATTACTTACCACAATTTTACTGAAAGCAAAAACCCTAAAGATAAGTAATTACTTTAAATCCGTTATGTACAGCTCTTGATAATAGAGGGAAACACTGGAATGCCAAACATTTTTTGGTTGAAAAAAAATTTTAGGAGAATATAATCTCTGATGATAACTTTAATGTTTAATGGTAGCCAATTAAAGAACACGTTTCTATTTCCAGAGTCTTCAGTTATTTTTGGTGAGAAATCAAAGCTAAGATTTTAAAAAAGAAAAGAGTTCTGATAGAAATATAGATAGACATAGAGCTATAGTGTTACAATATTGACAGTTTTCATCTTTTGCAGTGACGCCACTTCATAAATTACTTTGCCACTATAAAGATGAAATTTTTATATAATCTACAGCCTACTACTCTCTCTTCTACATTTGAGAAGCATAGCGTACAAAGTTATACCTAAGATATTTCCTTATTAAGTATGTAAAAATAACCTTGCTCTTTGAAAGACTCAAATGAAGGCTAATAACCTCTGACTAATCAATTTAATTCTGTTGTTAGGTGCCATCCAGTCAGTTCCGACTCATAGCAAAACTGTGTACAATAGAATGAAACACTGCCTGGTCCTCCATCATCCTCACAATCGTTACTGTGTTTGAGCTCATTGTTTCAGCTACTGTGTCAGTCCATCTTTTTGAGGTTCTCCTTCTTTTTCACTGACCTGCTGCTTTACCAAGCATCATGTCCTTCTCCAGGGACTGATTCCTCCTGGTAACATGTCCAAAGTACATGGAGATGAAGTCTTGCCATCCTCGCTTCTAATGAGCATTCTGGCTGTACTTCTTCCAAGACAGATTTGTTCATTCTTCTGGCAGTCCATGGTATATTCAATATTCTTTTCCAACAACATAATTCAAATGTGTCAATTCTCCTTCAGTCTTCCGTATTCATCGTTCAGCTTTTGCATGCATATGAGGCGATTGAAAATACCATGGCTTGGTTTAGGTGCACCTTCGTCCTCAAGGTGACATCTTTGCTTGTTAACAAAGAGGTCTTTTGCAGCAGATTTGCCCAATGCAATATGTTGTTAGATTTCTTGACTGCTGCTTCCATGGGCGTTGATTGTGAATCCAAGTAAAACAAAATCCTTAACAACTTCAGTCTTTTCTCTGTTTATCATGATATTGCTTAATTGGTCCAGTAGTGAGGATTTTTGTTTTCTTTATGCTGAGGTGTAATCCATACAGAAGGCTGTAGTCTTTGATCTTCATCAGAAAGCACTTCAAGTCCTTTTTACTTTCGTGTCATCTGTATATGGCAGGTTGTTAATGAGTCTTCCTCCAATCCTGATGCCATGTTCTTCTTAACATAGCCTAGCTTCTGGGATTATTTGCTCAGCATATAGATTCAATAAGTATGGTGAAAGGATACAACCCTGACACACACCTTTCCTGGTTTTAAACCACGGAGTATCCCCTTGTTCTGTTCTAACGAGTGCCTCTTGGTCTATGTACAGGTTCCTCATGAGCATAATCAAATGTTCTGGAATTCCCATTCTTTGACATGTTATCCTAATTTGTTATGATCCACATAGTTCCAATGCCTTTGCATAGTCATTAAAACACAGGTAAACATCTTTTTGGTGTTCTCTGCTTTCAGCCAAGATCCTTCTGACATCAGCAGTGATATCCCTCATTCCATGTCCTCTTCTGATTTCGGCTTGAATTTCTGGCAGTTCCCTGTCCATGTACTGCTGCAACCGTTTTTGAATTATCTTCAGCAGAATTTTATTTGCATATGATGTTAATGATATTAATAATTTCCACATTCTTTTGGATCACTTTCTTTGGAATGGACACAAATATGGATGTCTCCCAGTCGGTTGGCCCAGTAGCTGTCTTTCAGATTTCTTGGCATAGACAAATGAACACTTTCAGTGTTGCATCCGTTTGTTGAAATATCTCAATTGATATTGTGTCAATTTCTGGAGCCTTGTTTTTCTCCAGCGCCTTCAGTGCAGCTTGGACTTCTTCCTTTAATTCCATCAGTTCTTGATCATATGCTACCTCCTGAAATGTTTGAACGTCAACCAATTGTTTTTGGTACAGTGTCTGTGTATTCCTTCCGTCTTCTTTTGATGCTTCCTGTGTCATTCAATATTTTGCCCATAGAATCCTTCAATATTGCAACTCAAGGCTTGAGTTTTTTCTTCACTTCCTTCAGTGTGAGAAATGTCAAGCATATTCTTCCCTTTTGGTTTCCGAACTCCAGGTTCTTGCACCTTTCATTATAATACTTTACTTTGTCTTCTCTAGCCGCCCTTCGAAATCTTCTGTTTAGCTGTTTCACTTCTTTATTTCTTCCTTTTGCTTTAGGTACTTGATTTTCAAGAGCAAGTTTCAGAGTCTTTTCTGACATCCATTTTGGTTTTTTCTCTCTTTCCTGTTTTTTTAATGACCTTTTGCTTTCTTCATCTATGATGTCCTTGGTATCATCCTACAACTTGTCTAGTGTTTGGTCATTAGTGTGCAGGGCGTCAAATCTATTCTTGATATGATCTCTAAATTCAGGTGGGATATACTTAAGGTTGTACTTTGGCTCTTTTGGACTTGTTTTAATTTTCTTCAGCTTCAACTTGAGCTCGCATATGAGCAGTTGATGGGTTTGTTTCACGCTTGGCCCCTGGCTTTGTTCTGACTGATGATATTGAGCTTCTCGATTTGGCCCCTGGCTTTGTTTTGACTGATGATATTGAGCTTCTCGATACCAAAAATAAACAACCACAGTAATTGTTTTAGAATTGAGATTAAGGGAAGGTGTTTTTCCAGGAAGGACTATTTTATCACTGACCTTGTTTAGACTTGCTGGAACACAGTGATAATAAAAAGCAGATTGACTTTTATTGTTTTATTACTATCTTCAAATTAATGACAAAGTTGTACTCCTTTATTGCCTCGCATACATGGCAAACTGCTCCTACTGCCTTGTCCTTGGTATGGCACTGTCTTTTATTGAAATATAACATGCATAAAGTGAAAAGATCATAAAATGTACAGCTCAGTACGTTATCAGAGAATGAATATGCTGTGTCATTACCACCCAGGTGAAAAAATAGGACATTACTGGTACCCTAAAAGCTCACCCCATTTCCTCTTATAGTTGCCACCCTCTTCATACTCCCCAAAGGTAGCTATTCTGACATCTAATGCTGTGGATTAATTTGCCTCATTTTTAACTCCTTATAAATGGAATTGATCATATAGTTTATATTCTTTTCTAAAAAGTTTTATTTTTTTTTTGTTGTTGTCATCAAGAATATACCCAGCAAAACAGCCATCAGTTTAACAGTTTCTACATGTACCATTTAGTGAGATTGATTACATTCTCTGACTTGTGTAACTATTCTCACCCTCCTTCTCTGAGTTGTTCCTCCCCTATTAACATAAATTCACTACCCCTAAGGTTCCTATTGGAAACCCTGGTGGCATAGTGGTTAAGTGGTACGGCTGCTAACCAAAAGGTCGGCAGTTCGAATCCACCAGGTGCTCCTTGGAAACTCTGTGGGGCAGTTCTACTCTGTCCTATAGGGTAGCTATGAGTCGGACTTGACTCGACGGCAGCGGGTTTGGGTTTTTTTTTCTTTTATGGTACCTATCTAACCTTTCAAGTTGCTGTTATTAATTGATTTCATTAAAAAAAAACAAAACCTCACTACCATCAATTGATTCTGATTCATAGTGACCCTATAGGACAGAGTAGAACTACCGCATAGAATTTCCAAGGCTGTAAACCTTTACAGAAGCAGACTGCCACATCTTTCTTCTGCAGAGCAGCTGGTGAGTTCGAACCACCGACCTTTTTGGTTAGCAGCTGAGCTCTTTAATCTCTGTACCATTGTGGCTCCTGATCCCATATAGTTCTTAAAAGCGCATACTGCTCAAGGCAGACATTTGTTACTAGTTAAGCTAAACTATTGTGTTGTTTTAAGAAGACTTCAGGGGATATTTTTGGTTTAAGGTGTAAAGATTATCTCAGGGCAGTAGTTTTAGGGTTTCATTCAATCTTCATGGATCCAGGAAGCCTGGAGTCCATGAGAATTTAAAATCCTATTCTGCGTTTTCCCCCTTTTGATCAGGATTCTTCTATGGAATCTTTGATCAAAATGGTAAGTAATAGTTTCCGGATACCATCCAGTTCTTCTGGTCTCATGGCAAAGGAGGCAGTTGTTCATGGAGATGGTTAGCCACACCTTCCATATCCTCCTTCTATTCCTGGTTCTCCTTCTTTCTGTGTTGCTCCAGGTGAATAGAGACCAATTGTTGTGCCTTGGATAGCCGCTTGCAAGCTTTTAAGACCCCAGGTAGTATGCAGTGAACTAGGAAGTAGAACAGAAGCACTAGACATATTTTTAGACCAATTGACTAGGAAGTCCCATGAACCATGACCCTAAATCTCCAAACCAAGGAACCAAATCCCATGAGGTTTTTGGTTATACATAACATAGCCTCAGCAGCTACTCTGCTTTTTTGTCATTGTTATAAATATGTCATACAACTTTTGGCAATTCAACTTTTTACAGGTGTACAACTTATTGACAGCACTCACAGTAATCAGCTGTGCAACCCTGTCTTTAATCAATTTGATATTTCCATCACCATAACCTCCTCCTTCTCTCCCCCTCCTTCCTGCCCCTGGTAACCACTAATAAATTTTCTTCTCTATGCATTTGCCTTTTCTTGTCTTTTTATGTAAGTGAAGTTATACAAGATTTGACCTTTTGTGATCGACTTATTTCACTCAGCGTAATGTCTTCCAGCTCCATCCATATTGTAGCATGTATCAAGACTTCATTTCTCCTAGTGGCTGAGTTGTATTTTATTTTATGTGGGTACCATTTGTTTATCCATTCACTTGTTGATGGCCATTCAGGTTGTTTCCACCTTTTGGCTGTTGTGAATAATGCTGCAGTGAACATTGGTGTACAAGTCTCTGTTTGAGTTTCTGCTTTCAAGTCTTTTGGGTATATATACTGTCTTAGTTATCTAGTGCTACTATAACAGAAATACCATCAGTGGATGGCTTTATCAAACAGATGTTTATTCTCTCACAGTCTAGGAGGCTAGAAGTCCAAATTCAGGGCGCCAGCTCTAGAGGATGGGTTTCTGTCTCTTTTGGCTCTGGAGGAAGATCCTAGTTGTCACTCCTCCCCTGGTCAGGAGCTTCTCAGCGCAGAGATCCCAGGTCCAAAGGATGTGCTCTGCTCCTAGCACTACGGTCTTGGTGGTATAAGGTCCCTCCCTCTGTCTCTCTGCTCCTTTCTCTTTGTTATATCTAAAAAGAGACTGACTTAAGATGCAGTCTAATCTTGTAGATTGAGTCCTGCCTCATTAACATAACTCCCTCTAATCCTGCCTCATTAGCATCATAGAGGTAGGATTTACAACAAATAGGAAGATCACATCAGATGACAAAATGGTGGACAGTCACAGTGCTGGGGATCATGGCCTAGCCAAGTTGACACACATTTTTGGGGGACACAGTTCAATCCATAACGTACCTAGGAGTGGAATTTATGGGTCATATGGTGTTCTGTTTTTAGGTTTTTTTTTGAGGAAACACCACCCTGTTTTCCACAACGGGTACCATTTTGCATTTACACTAGCAATGGATAAGGGTTAGTTTATATTCTTTTAAGCATGTCTTTTTTCCCCCCCTCAACTTGTGGATCTGTTTCTTTTATTTTTGATTGAGTGTTGAGCATTGGTTTTGAAAAACTATAGAGGTAATTTCAGGCTTAGGATGATACTTTCTTTCTCCAGAGGTAATTTACATTAGCTTTTGAAAAAGTAGGATTCCCTAATGTAGTAATGATTGAGATGATTTAGACTTCAGTGCCTATGAATGCTGATCCGTTTCTGTTTCATTCTTTCTTCTTGAGTGTGTCTTTTTGGTGGTCTGAAACCAGAATTTGGGAGTCTATCCTTCTGTGGGCCCTGAATTCCAGTTTTTGTCCATTTCAGCACTGTTGAACTGTCAGAAGCATTCATCAGCTTCTCATCTATCTCTGTCAACATTGGCAGAAACCTTCAGTTCAAAAATCGATCTTATTCACTGCCTTGTTAGCTTTCTGATGCCTTGAAATAAATTGTTTTTAATGTGTTGTCTGTCTTTTATAGTTCTTAGGAAGAAGATTGGTCATAGCTCACCATTACTGGTAACAGAACTCTTGCAGAGGCTTTTAATTTTACCTTTGCCCTTTACTCTTTGTTTTCTCCCAGATGTCATGCCAGTCTGTCTTGTTACATTACGAAGTCTGTTTATTTAGTTAATTTTTCCTGTTCTCTTAGCAACTACTGTATGTTTAAGATATAAAGTATTTTTCAAGGCCACGGTGTCTCACAACAGAAAATTAATAGAGTTTACTTGTTTTATTATGCCAGGAAAATTGCTGGTGATTTTAGATACAGTAAATGTTAACAGTTTATATTATATCCTAGTCTTATAAAAATGGTATAAAAATAAGGCCCATATTATAATTAGTTAAAAACTCAACAGTTGACCTGCTGCTTTGAATAAGACAAGATACTATGCCCTTTGGAGTATGTTAAGATGCTGGCTCAAAAACTTTTAATATCACCGAAGAGGTAAGACATATGTCTAATGGTAAAATGTAAAAGCAAAATTAGACGTGTTTATAGTGGCAACAGTATGTAAAAAACTAAGAATCTGCATATGAAAAAAAAAGAAAAACCTGAGGAAAATATAACAAAATGTAAGAGTATTGATGGTTTTTTTCTCTTTTGTTTCTACTTTGTGATAGTTTTCCAATTTTTCTTTAAGAAATAGATGCTAACCAGCATTTAATTCTTAAACGTTCTCTGTTTATAGTAGTTAATTGGAACTTGATATATTTCACATTCTCAATGGAAAAACAGTTTTAAAACCATATTGATGTTTTTAAAAAAATGTCATTTGCATTTTGTTTGCCAGTGGGTGTTCTCAAGATTAAAGCTGAATGCATGAGCATGCATATGGCTCACCATTCGTATGTAATAAATGCATGACTACTCTTTTTAAATTCTTACAGAAATCTATCTAATGTGGAGGAAATTGGGACTTGCTCATATATCAATCATATTATCACCATGACAACACTCTATATTCAGCAAGTAGGTGTGAACCAGTATTTCTTTTTGTTGCTTTACTGAGGGTAACTAAGTTTTATATGTTTGTTTTGAATTATAGTTAGCAAAGTTAAATGTTTTCAGAGGTAATAATTGAGAAAAGAATTAAAATCATTGAGGACTATATATTTCAGACATCTTATACATATTATCTAAATGTGAACAATCAGTTATTAATATATTCTGCTATTTTAATTAAAAATTAAAGTGTTTTATAAATGGCTTTTAAAAATTATACAATTTGTCATATTATGTATTTATTATTATCATATATCCCTCTTACTGAAAGCATATTATGCTTTGAAAAGATGTTTGGTTATCCATTTTAAGCCCTTTCTAGGAAATATTTAAAATTTGTAAGGATATATGTAGTCCATATGATTGACTGACTCTCTTTAGACTCAGAGGGGATGTTAGGCTTATTTGAATTAAAATGATTTATTATTAGGTAATTAATGACACATGGCATTTTAATGGTGTGGGTAAGAATGTTGAACTTGTTATGTGGCTTAATATTTTTAAGTAAGTAAAATTTTATGTTTAAATTTATTCTCAGTTAAAAAGCAAAAAAAAGGAGAAGGAAATGGCAGATCAGACATCTATTGAAGAATTTGTAATCCATGCACTGGCATTTTGTGAAAGTTTATATGATCCGTATCGGAACTGGAGGCATAGAATTTCAGGGTATGTTTAATAAATCACAATATTCATTTAAAACGTGACTGTGACTGTGATAGTATGTGCAACTCTTAAAAGCAGCTCTCATTTTCTATGAAAGCAATTGGAAAGATATGCTAAGACCCACAAATTTAAGAAATGGAAAAATAGGAATAAATACCCTAGCTGTTAAACATAATAACCTTCTCTGCATTTTTATACATTTACTTTCTTTTATACATTCAAAGAATGTGTCCTAAGACTTTTCTTGACTGTTTATTAATAGGAAGGTACTAATGATCTACTGAATACTTCTTTTCTATTAAGTTTATAATATCCCCCTCTTCCAGGGAGAGAGAGTGCTTTGACCTTTCCTTTTCAAAGATGTTGTATCAGTCAGGATAAGCTAGATTATGCTGCAGTAATAAACAAGGGCTCAAAATAACAAGGTTTATTTCTTGTTCATGTTCTTTATCACTATGGGTAGGGAGGAAGCCTGTATTCATCATAGTCACACAAGGTCTGAAGCTGACAGAAGAGTGAGCATCTAAGGCTTTGTTAGTGTATGAGAGGGAAATAAAAGCTGTATAGGGACTCACATTGGTAATTTAATATTCTTGTCTGTACATGACACGTGACACATTTCATTTTCATTCAGAACTCATTGGCCAGAATTAGTCACATGGCTCCATCTGTTACACAGAGGCCAAGAAGTTCAGTTGTACCATGTGACGGAAGAGGTAGAAACAAATATTTGGCATACAGCACCAGTGACTACCTTTTGCCTCTGCCTGTGTACTGCTCATGACTCTTTAAAGACTCAGGCACAGAACAGTGCTCCATTTGTAGCCTTTCTCCTCATTCAGCACTTTGGTTCCTGACCAATCATGCTCTCCATTTTAAAGTTTATGCCAGAACTTATTTTCTTTTAATTGTGGTAAAATATATGTAACGTAAAATTTGTCATTTTAACCATCTTAAGTGTATAGTTTCATGGCATTGCTTATATTTGCAATGGTGTGCAACCATTAGCAGTATTTTGAAAATTTTTATAATCCAAGTAGAAACTCAGTCCCCATTAAGCAATAATTCCCTACTTCCCCATCTTCCCAGTCCCTGAATCTACTTTCTGTCTCTGCATTTGCCTATTCTAAATACTTCATTTAAATGGAATCATATATTTGTCCTTTTGTGTGCCAGAGCCTTCTTAAGGAAAGTATCTCTTCCTCCCACTCTTGCTACTTTCCCATCCTCTACCTTGGATTTGTCACTACTGCAAACCTAAGAGAACATTTTAAGTTTTAAAAGAGTGACACAGGATTTTTCTTTATAGCAGCAAGACAGCTGGAGAAAGAAGAACATAAAATCAGTCTAAACATGACAGACTTTTAAAGGAGTTCATAAGAAGCAAAACGAATTTAAAGATGGGGGAAAGAGAGAAGAAATAAAAAACAGATCTGAGAACAAATTAAAACAAACTAAATAAAATTGGTAATTGGGAAAAAAAAACACTTTTTGAGAGCCAAAAACAAGAAAAATTTTAAATAGTATGACATAATATAGAAAGAGAATTATACATACTGAGATGACATCATGATGGGGAACAGAGAATAGAGGATAAGTCGTGGCATTTAATGAATGCATATGTCATATGTGCCAGGAATTATGCTAGAAGCTTTCCATGTATTATCTTTAACACCCTCAAGTATCTTTGCAGTAATGTATGAATTGTTTCAGGAGTAAATGGTAAAGCAGGATTTCAGAACTGGGTTTCTCTGACTTTGACTTTGACAGGGAGATAAATCATGATGCAAATAAATCATGGAATTAGGAGAAATCTGTAGCTCATGAAAGACTGCAGGGTATCAATCACAGTGACATATACTTATTTATTAATCTTATTCTGAAGTTAAATGTACATTTGGAATATATGTATTTTCGTTGTTTGTATTTATTATTTACCAAAACACGTAAAACAGGTTCAAACACATTTAAATAAAATTACCATAATTTCAAAAACAGAGCCAATTTAAATTATGTTTCTTTTTTTTGTTTTCTTGTTTGATGAAATAAATGGATACTTTTCATATCTCCGGAGCCCTGGTGGCACAGTGGTTAAGAGCTACAGCTGCCAACCAAAAGATTGGCAGCTTGAATCCACCAGCTGCTCCTTGGAAACCCTGTGGGGCAGTTCTACTCTGTCCTATAGGGTCGCTATGAGTTGGAATTGACGGCAGTGAGTTTGGTTTGGTTTTGGTTTTTCATATTTCCACATGTGATTTGACGTGATTAATAGAGTTGATTAATCTGTTAGGTCAGTTTTGACTTGATGTTGCTGGCAGAATCTCTCATTGTTAGTAAGATTTTCTCTAATGGAACTGAAATAAGTGTAGGAGGAAAATCTTTCAAAATGACTTATTCAAGTATTGTGTTCCATGCAATTTCAATAAGACTTATTGCTTGCCCACAGAGAAAGATAATTACATTAAAGTCACACCTGGGGCTCCTACTTTTGGGGCAATGTATGCACTAAAATAGTTAACAGAATAGAATTATAAACCATTGGAGAAAAAAAAAATTCATGAGTCTAGTGATAGATAGACAGACAGACAGACAGATAGATAGATAGATGAGAAAAGAGGACTCTTGCTTACAGTAAAATGCCAAGTGTCAATTAGTAAATGTAAAGGGAATGCTGAAGTCGGAAAAAATCAGCATTTTGCACCCATAATAGTAAAGATTGGACCAGGCAGTAGTCATAGATGGATACTAAGTTTTGATGAGGACCATGGTATTTGCGTGGTTTTAAAGTGTCTTCACACAGATTACTTATTAGTTGTAAAGAAACAAGTAGTAATTAATTTGGGAAAACTGGACAGTATTTTGACTGGATGATAAAAAAATATTATCACTGAGAGGCTGATGTACATCATGTGCCTCCAAATGTTAGAATGACACATCACTGCCTATATAGTATTTCACCCAAGAATGCATAATCAGAATCTAATTATGAGGAAACTCCAAGCAAACCCAAAATTAAAAATGTTCTAGTGAAAAAAGGAGGGGGCGGCATTTTTCAGAAATGTCAGACACATACAAAAAGGCTGTGGAAATGTTCCAGATTAAAGGTGGCTAAAGAGAAACACGTCTGCCAGTTTGTTGTACTGTAGGGGCTTGCGTGTTGCTGTGATGCTGGAAGCTATGCCACAGGTATTCAAATAATAGTAGGGTCACACATGGCAGACAGGTTTCAGCTGAGCTTCCAGACTAAGACAGACTAGGAAGAAGGCCCTTGTGATCTACTTCTGAAAAGAATTAGCCAGCGAAAAACTTATGAATAGCAGCGAAATATTGTCTGATATGGTACTGGAAGATGAGCCTCTCAGCTTGGAAGGCACTAAAAAGACAACTGGGGAAGAGCTGCCTCCTCAAAGTAGAGTCAACCTTAATGATGTGGATAGAGTCAAGTTTTCGGGACCTTCATTTGCTGATGTAGCATGAGTCAAAATGAGAACAGCTTCAAACATCCATTAAGAATTGAAACATGGAATGTACAGAGTATGAATCTAGGAAAATTAGAGATCATCAAAAATGAAATGGAACGCATAAACATAGATATTCTAGGCATTAGTGAGCTGAAATGGACTGGTATTGGCCATTTTGAATCAGACAGTCATATGGTCTACTGTACCAGGAATGACAAAGAGGAATGACATCGCCTTCATTGTGAGAAAGAACATTCCAAGACCTATCATGAAATACAGCACTGCCAGTGATAGGATAATATCCATATACCTACAAGGAAGACCAGTTAATATGACTGTTATTCAAATTTATGCACCACCCACTAAGGCCAAATATGAAGAAATTGAAGATTTTTACCAACATCTGCAGTCTGAAACTGATCGAACATGCTATCAGGATGCACTGGTAATCACTGGTGATTGGAATGCGAAAGTTGGAAACAGAGAAGGGTCAGTAGTTGGAAAATATGGCCTTGGTGATAGAAATGATGCCGGAGATCGAATGATATAATTTTGCAAGACCAACAACTTCTTCATTGCAAGTACCTTTTTTTTACCAACATAAACAGCGACTGTGCACGTAGACCTTGCTGGATGGAATGCACAAGAATCAAATCCAGTACATCTGTGGAAAGAGACAATGGAAAAGCTCAGTCTCATCAGTCAAAGCAAGGCCAGAGGCTCAGTGTGGAACAGACCATCAATTACTTATATACAAGTTTAAGTTGAAGCTGAAGAAAATTAGAACAAGTCCATGAGAGCCAAAGTATGACCTTGAGCATATCCCACCTGAATTTAGAGACCATCTCAAGAATAGGTTTGTTGCGTTGAACACTAATGACCGAACACTAGACGAGTTGTGGAATGACATCAAGGACATCATATGTGAAAAAAGCAAGAGGTCGTTAAAAAGACAGAAAGAAAAGACCAAAATGGATGTCAGAAGATGTCGCAGCCCCTCACACGGGACAACATCTGTCCCAGCGGCGGCGAATGTAGGGACGGCGGAGACAGTAACCAAACACAACTCTTACAGAGAAGTGGGGCCAGGAGGGTCACTCTGAGGAGTCAACCCTCGCCTTCAGTCCCAGGAGTTTATTTATAGCCAATACAGCAAGCAGTGAAGCAAATAACAGAACAACGGGCTTTGGGTGAGTAGCAATAAGTTTCGGGCAAGGGAGAAGGAATTCAGGTAAACAAGCCAATCAGTAACGGGACAATAGGTTTGGGAAAAAAAGTCGTGACAAGTCTCAACATGTTGGGGACAAATCTCAACATGCTGTGCAGCATAGAGGCCTGTGGGAGCTGCAGTTGTCAATAGTGTAGCCATGTTTAAATGTCATATATCCCCACAAGAAGAGACTCTGAAACTTACTCTTGAACGTAGAATAGCTAAAGCCAAAGGAAGAAATGATGAAGTAAAAGAGCCGAACAGAAGATTTCAGAGGACAGCTGGAGAAGACAAAGTATTATAACGACATGTGCAATGACCTGGGGTTAGAA